ACATTTTCGGATTGAAAATTTGCTTGAACCTCAAATATTATTTGATAAAAAATACATTTAAAAATTAAAAAAACAGTGTGGGTTAAAGGGAGATAACCACGGATTAAAAGTCAGAACATTATCATTGATAACTCTCTCCTCCAATTTGCGGACCCTTGTTACTATATTCTTAAGACTTAATATATTGCAAAAATATCACAATGATAAAATCAGTTAATTATTTATAACTATTTATACTGGGACTCATGCATGCAATTACAAGTAATGCATAATATTATTTTAAAATATTCATTCTGTTGCATGTATAAAGCATGCTGTACTGTTCAGGAACCACTGCTCAACAAGGAGACACTGCAATTCTTTTAGTAAGAGTTGTGATTGTAAATTGTACCTAGCCACTTGGAATGCAACTGAAAAGCACGATTGTTGTTTCCTGTGGATGATCAAACATCCACAGGAAACAACAATCGTGCTTTTACTTGCACTAGAAAGAAAAATAATGCAAATACTTGATTATTTTTGCAGTTGTTGTTTTTTGTTTAAGTAATCTCAGATAATTCTCTATATAATTAATTTTATATTTAATTAATTCTATAGTCAAATCTGCTTTTGAATTCAGGAAATGTAGAAATATCCAAAGTGAAATAAAACAAAAAATAAAAAAGCAATATGTTTGTAACTTGTTCTCATTACTTAGAAATTAGATATTTCATTGTTATGGTAATGTTATGAAATGGGATTTCCTTTATATTTTATCAGTCCAGTAGTAATTGTTTATCTCACAGACCAAGAGCTGCTCTACCCTCACTGCTTGGGTGTTTGTATAATCTAGGGGTGGCCAAACTTCAACTTGTAAGCTACATGTGACTCTTTGTCCTTTAAAATGCAGCTTGTGGAAATATGTTATCTGGACTCCTTTCTTTTTTTTTATCACAGTTAATATAAAAGGTAAATAAGAAAAAATTTGGGCTTTATAATTATTTACTGGGTATCAACTGAGAGCCCATTTAATTAAAATGTAAGTTTAATGTGCATGTAACAAAAAACGTATATGTAAATTTTGTTCATGTCATGTAGCTCTCAATATCTGAACTTTATGATAGGTGGCTATTACATTAACCAAGTTTGGCTACCCCGGGTATAGTCTATACTTCAGCTATGTTAATTAGGCAGTCACTTACATATCACTGCAGGTAATATAAGTTTTGTATATTTACTGATGTGGAGAAAAGTTTCCTGTTAGCACAACAGTGGAATAACCCATTGGTAAGCAACATGGCAAAGATATCAGGACGTTTGACCAATAAATATATCCACATTTTTTTATATTATAGAATAGCAGTTTCATGTTTTTTTTTTATATTATGGGATACCAGTTTCACATTTTTTTTATATTATAGAATAACAGTTTCATGTTTTTTTTTATATTATTGGATACCAGTTTCCCATTTTTTTTATATTATAGAATAGCAGTTTCATGTTTTTTTTATATTATGGGATACCAGTTTCCCATTATTTTATATTATAGAATAGCAATTGCAATTTATAAAGAATATTTTTAATTAATTTTTTTTGTCGCTATCATTATGCATTTTGATTTTGCCTTCCTGTTGTTCATTTTCCTTCTTTTGTTTTCCTATTCTCTACTGTATATGTACTAATCACCCGCTCTCATTTCTACTCTGTTCAGCAGTTTTCATTGTTCAATGGTGGCAGTGGATTAAAATCATTTCATTATCTGACAAATCATCTTTGCTTGAAGTGCCCAATCTTTTGGCATCTCTGATAATTTCCAAATAGCTACATTTCAAAGAATTCTGTAAAGTCTTATGCTTGGCAGTCTGATGTATGAGTAATTATTATGCAAAGACACCTCACAATTTGCTTAATGCCATCACTCTTCATGGTACAATAGCCATCAACTAAGCAGAAAAAAAAATCCTGAAGAAGTTGCCAGCCATTACTTGTCAGAAAAATAGGTAATCAACAATTGACTGTCTGCATCATTTCTAGGGATCATTAATTTCTTTAAATCACTGAATATTATGGTAAAAAGTCCAGTGAAAACCAGAGTTTAGCATTTTTGTGTCACTATGTGGTGAAAATTGCTGTGGCAGTTAAAGGATATTTCTTTTTCTTTTTAAAAGAAATTTTGAATCAATATATTTACTGTTAATGTTCCATTGGTTTTTCTATTCCTTATACGACTTCTGGCCTGTCAGGATTAGTTCAGTCAGATGTGAAAAAAATATTTATGTATAAAAATAACATATCTGCTGATTCAGATTTTAATCTTAGCTATGCTCATCATCTTTAATGCATATGAACTGGAACAGCAATAAATGGTTTCTTCCTTTCTTCTCTGATGATGTGGTCTGAAGAATTGGATTTATGAATCATTCTGTTTTTTTTTTTAATTGCTTTCATGCTTAAATTATAAGTGCAGTATATGTCTTGCCACAAATCCTACCAGAATAGACTTTGCTCTCAGTGTGATGACTTTCCAGCCATGAGTGGAGATCCACAATTGTTGGCTGAGCTGCACTTGGGTTGCAAGCATGGGAAAGAACGTCTTTAAAGGTGGTAATCAACAATTGACTGTCTGCATCAGATCTAAATATAAACAGGAACACCAGAGAGGAAAGTGGTAGGGTATCACAAACATCACAGGTGAGAATGTAATGTCCACATTTTTAAATCAGGGATGATCAGGACCACACTGACACTGGCTGACATTAATGGAAGAAGTTTGGAATTGAATAAAATGTAATTTTAAATGAGAAATTGTTTTTGTCTTCTAATGTACATTGATATTTCCTTACATTAGTAGGTTTCAATACTAGTAGTCACAACTACAGGGAGGAACAGTGGAGTAATGGATAGCAACTCAAATTAAGGAAACGGAGAGCTGAGTTTGATTTCCAGTGGAATCCATTAATTCACTTACGTGCTAATACCTTTGAAAAAGGTATGAATCCTCTTCTCCCCACAGCTATGGGTAAATAGCAGGACAGACCGGGTTTATAGCCTTGGATGGCAACTGGTCTACCACAGAAAGAAATGGCAACCTACTGCTGGGAAAAAAAAATCTGCCTCGTCAGTCATGTATTTAAGCGTGTATCACACATGGCACATAACTGACTGAGTTACAACTATCTACTAGCCACCACAGTATACAGCTAATAGGAATTAATTGACCCTTGCCATTGTAGTTGACTGTCTCTCTTATCAGCCATGATTGCATCATGTATCCGCATGTTGATGCCTATCTATACAACTGGAGAGCTGCTGTTTGCTCCAGATATTTTGTCATTGAGGTTTGCATTTCTCGGTAACTAAGGTTTTGTCTGGCTCCTACCCAATTGACCTGTCTGAACCTCCCCAGGAGAAAAACTCTCACCAGCATAGCTCTCCAGGTATCAATATGCTACCCACTCCACCATGTCAAAATTTGGATTGTTAGCTTATCACATATGTAACATTAATTAAAAGTAGCATGTTAGCAATTGAATGGATTGAAAAATATTGCTGCTAATGAATATTGTTGTCATGACATAGAACTACATTTTAGAAACGTTTGTACCCAAAACAAAACCATCAAAAATACAAAATACATTTTTTTTTGTCTAAGATTATTTAGAAAAGTTTTGGAAAATATGCAACAATATTGTACAAACAATTGAGGGAAGACGTAAGCAATAACAGATCACTTAAAGAAAAAGAAATAGAGAAAAAAAAGCAGGTAATTATTGTGTGGAATAAACCTAATATAATTGGCAAAAAAGCCCTATTGGGAAGATTTAACACCTTCATTGGCATAAAAAGGTTTTGTGAAAGGAGCTAATACTATTTGAGAGCTGAAAACCTGCTACAAGGAAAAAATAATTAACAAAAACACAGTTACGATTGCTAAAAGAGTATTCAATTCATTTGCAACTTCCCACAATGCAATGGTGCTAACTGACAATAAACTGATAGTTTAAGCTGAAGAAGGTTAAAGAATGAATTGGCTGAAATGTTGTAAAAGTAAAATAAAATTAAAAATGCAGTTTAAAAATTTTAGTGAATATTTGTATCTTTGTTCCAAGAATGGCATAACCAGCAGAAAAGTTTAACAATCATGCATACACCGATATATATATATATATATACACACACAAGCCTGTTTTACTGTATCACGGCTAATCAGTGTGGCTAGACATCTGATTGCTTCAAGCCGTCTGCAACTGTATCCCTAAGCTACCGCTACACAGCAGAGAAAGGGAATCTTTTTAACATATTACATACATGATGTATATAAACACCAAATCAGCAGCCAGAGTGCTCAGTTCATATATGAAAAGTGATGCATTATAAGCAGGAGAAGCTACTGTTTTAAAAATTTCCTTTCCTCATAATACTCAATCAGCAAATGAGATTTATTAACTGTTCATTCAATACAGTGTCCAATCGTCACTAAAGGTAAAGAGCTATTAATGATGTTGTATAGATGTAAGAAGAGGAATTAATTGCAGATTATGAGGATATGTAGGATAGATAATGGTTGACCTTAAAGTCGAAGAGGTTAATATTTTAGTGGTTGAAGAAGCATTTTCTTAGGCGTCTGTTCCACAAAGGTTAACAGAAAGTAATATTGATTAATTAATATTGATCATTAAAAGAAAAATTGTCAGAATAAATAATAATCCATATTTGGTGGTATGCAAAGCACTCACTTAACCCCCCTCCCCCAATATCTACAGATCTTATATGTGAAATTAAAGTGATCTGGTAGGTAAATGCTTACCCAAACACCATAGATTATCAGTACATGTACCCGGTTGAGTTGTGAAGAGAGGTAGGTCGTATATCTTATAACAAATAAGATACGAAATCCCATCCTGTCTTGCAGAAATATATTTTGTATCAACAAGACATCACAGTTGTTAAACCTCCTTGAGAAATAAAAAAATGTTTGCACTGAAGGTGAAATTGTGAATTGATAGAGTAATGGAAGCCATATGAGCAGATGGGGTTTAAGTTTGTTGTTATTCTGCCACTTGTTTCTAAATTTTCTTACTTTTCCATGTTGCTTTTCCCCTCACACTTTTCCGTGTTGCTTTTTTCCCCTGCTCTCTCTTTTTGGTCTTTCATTCAACCTTCTCACCCTTTTCCGTCTTTCATTCTCCCTTCTAGCCCTTTTCCTTCTTTCATTCCTCCTTCTAGCCCTTTTCCATCTTCCATTCCCCCTTCTTGCCCTTTTTCCGTCTTTCATTCCCTCTTCTCACCCTTTTCCGTCTTTCATTCCCCCTTCTAGCCCTTTTCCATCATTCTTTCACTCTTCTCACACTTTTCCATCTTTCTTTCCTCCTCCTCGCCCTTTTCCATCTTTCATTCCACCTTCTCGCCCTTTTCCGTATTTCATTCCACCTTCTCGCCCTTTTCCGTATTTCATTCCACTTTCTCTGTTTTTCTTTCCCCTTCTCACCCTTTCCTGTCTTTGCTTCCCCCTTCTCACCCTTTTCTATCTTTCGTTCCCCCTACTATACGTTTTCCATCTTTCATTCCCCCTTCTCATACTTTTCCATCTTTCTTTCCCTCTTCTGGCCCTTTTCCATCTTTCTTTCCCCCTTTTCGTCCTTTTCCGTCTTTCATTCCCCTTTCTCGCCTTTTTCCGTCTTTCATTCCCCCTTCCTGTCTTTTTCCATCTTTCATTCCACCTTCTCGCCCTTTTCCGTCTTTCATTCCCCCTTCTCTGTCTTTCATTCCCCCTTTTCGCCCTTTTCCGACTTTCATTTCCCCTTCTCACACTTTTCCATCTTTCATTCCCTCTTCTCACCTTTCCATCTTTCATTCCCACTTCTCGCCCTTTTCCATCTTTCTTTCCCCTCTCTCTCTTTTATGAATTTCTTTTTTTTCTGCTCTCTCTTTTTCTGTGTTTCTTTATTCTCCTTCTTTCACTTTTCCGTGCTTCTTCCTCCCTCTTTTGTACTCCTCTTTCTCTCTTTTCCATGTTGTTTCCCCACTCTCTCTTTACCTAATTCACTTTAATTGCCAGCTGAGTACATTGCTATAAAATTAAAAAAGATGAACAAAACTAATCAACATTAAGAAGAAAATTATTTTATACTTTAAAATGGGGAAAAAATTAACTATAAAAAAGACTCAAGGTGATTTTAGGTATAAATCCATAATTGGTATTATTTATTTATATTTAGAAATACTCTTTATTAGTGAATATTTCTTGATATAGATAATATACATAAATTAATAAAACATTTTATGACAGAATTGTAACAAACAAAACTTTGAATTGATATGTTCTCATGTGCTGTTAAATCAACAGTTCTTGCCAACTCCTGATGTCATATAACTTATTTGGAGAGGAAATCAGTAGTGCTATGTAACTGAACTGCCTTTTCGATGACACAATGAACCCTTCCAGCTTGCTAGTCTTCTAAATTACAAAATCAGCCAACCAGATATTGTCAAAGTATTTATTGCTTAAGCAGCCACCACTAGCATAAGGTGAAATATGTACCCTTTGTAGAAAGTTAATTTTATAAATCACAGCAACCAGTACAACCTCAAGTTTTGCATTTAAGATTCCTCATGACTGATGTAGTGAAAACTGACTTTTATTTCTAACAAACTTTAAACAATTATTTGAGAATTTAGTTTAAATTAGCTTGGCAGAAGGCTTAGTGTTGACTTGCTATACTAGTAATGTGTGCCAGACTAGCTCAAGTATAAAGTGCCCAATGAGGTTTGAATTCCTGACAATAATAATGTTTTGCAAGACTAGCTTGATAATAAATACTCTGTGTCTACATGTTAAAAATATTTACTAAGTTTAGCTGATTACAGGATAAGGTCTCAAGTATAAGTTTCCCGATGAGAAATGAACTCTCTAATAGTTGTAACAGTCTTAAATAAGCTAGATAGCCATTGCATCATGGTAATATATGAAGAAAAGCAACCTTATATATATATATATATATATATATACTGGGGAGGAAGTGTAGTTTTGTAAACAGTGACTATTACAGCTAATAATGCAAGACTCTTCAGTAAAGTGAATCGAGTTCTCTCAGTCACTGTGTGTTTATCTAAAAATAAATACACTTAAATGCACCTTCATCCCTGCTGTGCACCAATGGCTTAGTGGTAGAATCCCCCGATTGATGCCAATTCTGTTGGGTTTCAATCCTAGCTAGAGGTAACTGGATTTATAGCCACAATAATGAGCTGAGATGCAGCAAAACAGTTTATCTGTGGATTATATATATATTGCATTTTTGCCTCCTTAACAAGAAAATACCTGTTATCATTGCATGTTTTTACCAGAGCTCATAATGCAACTTAGTTGCAATAAAATACCTACTGGAAAATTCAAAACTATAAAACAAAAGTAATTCTGAAAAATATGCTTGTAATTATTGTTATTCACTTAATTTAGAAAGTTTTGATGATATTTTGTCTTTTATTTATGTCATTTTCCTTACAAAAAATATGTATGTGATAAGAATATAAAGAAAATGAAATAAAACAAAATGTCTAATGATATTGGAAATAGATTGACAAAATCTTTTTTCACCATTAATCATAGGAAGCAATTATATAGAGCTAACAGTTTAAATAATTCTGAATGGGTTTGTCACCATGCATGATATCCATATGATATCCATATGATATCCATATGAAAATCTCAATCTGATGAGGCTATTTAAGAATATAACTTGAGTTTTCAGGTTGATGATTTAGTTTTGTAGCAATTTGAAGTGCCAGATAAAACTACCTTTGGCACAACCTATTCTACGTTCAATTTCTTTTTCTCCTATACTTTATTTATTATAGCTGATCCATATACCAAAGTATCTATTGATTTATCGTGCCTGAAACATACAACAATTGGGCTCAATGCCTGAAAGGGGGAATGGGTGAGGCTGGTCGAAACTATCTTATACCTGGCTAATCACAATCATGATTATTACAATTCATTACAATTTGCACATTTGCCACAAGAAATCATCCATCATCATTCAATCCTACATTTGCCACAATACTGCATACATACAGAGAACCTACAAAAACACCCCATGACATAAAAATTCTTGAGTACAAAATTTTTTATATATATATATATATATATATATATATATATAAATTCATTGATGATAAGCAATGAGGTGGGAGGGGATGAACCTGAAAACAAACTAAAATATAACAAAACCCACAAACTAAACATAACTAATGTGAATTGGAGCTGTCCAACCCTCAAAAGAAAATGCCAAGGTATCTGAAGTGTTTAGTATTTACTAATTCTACATCCAGTATTTTTATAATGGATTCAGGATCTGCCAATTCCAGATCATAGTTTCTGTTTCAGAAAGGTTTATCTTCAGTCCCATTTTTTGGGAACGCTTGATAGAGGATGCTTATTTTCTATCCAAGATCATTCTTATCCCAAATATGAACACCTATGTCATCAGCAACCCTCCTCAACCTCATCATCAGTACATTGGCTTGGGGAGGTAAAGCATGATTGTTGTCTTCTATTGGTTGATTTGTTTTGGATGTGGTATAGAATGTTTTCATGGTCAATGTCCATCTTATCACATCTGGGTTTGTAAATGTGCAGATCATTGTCTCGGAAAAGATTAAATAGACTGGAACGCTCATTTTCACTTTGTCGTACTCCTGATGAGCTCTGAAATGTTTCTGTATTAGGGTCCTTGCTAGATTCTATAGATTGATACAGTTCCTTTGTTAGATCAATGAATATAGCAGATATATTTATTAATCATTAATTTTTTTTTCCATTTTCTCTAACACTATGCCAGTGTTTCAAATTCTATCTAAATAAAATGACACTGGCTTTGATGCAGTAAAGTTGTCAAGGAAATTTTAAACATTAAAGATTAATTACTTTTTTTACATTATTCGGACTGTTATCCTCATCTTCATTGCCATATTAAACAACGTTTCCACCTTATTTGCTGCAGTCTTCTTCAGGTGATTGGAATTTCAAACTGAACCCTTTATTTTGTCCACCAGGGTAGATTGTTCTAGTTTCATGTGCTATGTCTCGTCCAGATGTCAGTTATTTCCCTTTAACTCAACTCTCAAAGTTTGGTTCACTACTGCTGTGGCCTGGTATTGAACTAACAACTCTTTGAGTCTAGTCACTGAATCTAACCAATGTCATTATCCACTGGGCCATGTTTCCTTGAGATTCAGACTTTAAAGATCAACTTTAGATTTATGATAATCCAGTGGTACTAATGTTATTCTTCTGAGAGTTGATAAAACAACATGTGGACAAGTATTGTCATGCAGCAATACAAGTTAGGTTTCTCTATTCTATAAACTGCATTTTTTTCCCAATTCTCTCTTCAAATGTGGGGAATGGTTGTTGTAATGATCTGCAGTAATGGTTTCAACAAGCATTAGCAATTTATATCCCATCAAATACATATCTTTGATGGAGAGTTTCTGCTCTTAATACTAAAGGTTCACCTGAGTTTAACAATCACTTTTGGTACTCAAATTATTCAAGTGAATGCACTTTTAATATTCTTCTGCAGAATGGATTTTTATTCCTACCTGGCAAGATGCAAAATTCAAGTGCTAAGACAATTCATGGGAACCCTTTTTTTCTGTTTTTTTGAATTTCTCCATAATTTACAAAAATCTTAAAAATGTTAAGTAAATGATGTCATATTTGCTGGGATGCTCATGTTGCAAGGATGAGTGATGACAGAATATCTAAGGTCCTCATGTATAGCCAGCTTCACAGTGGTCAAAGGACTGTTGGATGATCATGGCTCGGGTATAAAGACAAGCTAAAGAGTAACCTGTCAGCTGTTAATGTACCTCATACAAACTTTGAGCTAGTTGCCCTGGATAGAAATAACTGGAGATATTTGAACCAGAGTGGTATCAGAAATTTTAAAATCAGTCATATTGACGAGGTAAGACATTGGTGAAAAGCGTCAGTAAATATTCATGTTGCTATGTCCTGAAATCCTCACTGTTGGTCAATATGTGGGCTTGTATGCAGGTCACTAGTGGGACTGAAGTGTCACATCTGAAACAAACAAAAACTGAATGAGGTTGTTGAATCCTCATTCATCAAATGAAAGATCATCGATTCTCCGATTGATTTTGAATCCTCATACATCAAAATCAATGGGAGAATCAATGATCTTTCTTTTGATGTCTTTACACATGTGCATGAAGGAGGGCATCATCTGAAAGAGTTTGCAAAGTATCACTGCCAAATATTTGTGGTTTACAATTATGTACTTTGTCTTTCAAGTCATATTCACCTTTCTTGAATTTTACAATTGAATTCCAATTGAATCATTTCCACAGAGTTCATCCATCATCTTCATTTATGCTGTTACCTTGTTCAGTTTGAAAAGGAATATCATGCAGTATCATACAAAGTAATGTTGAAAGTTTCCCAGACTGACCAAGAATCACTATCAAAAGATAATTCTGATATTTAGCCATTAAGTTAGATTTTGAAAAGTGTCTCAGGCTTAACATTTTTGTACCTTCCTCAGACATGTATTTTGTCTGCTGCTGCAATTTTTTTTTTCAAAGGATAAATTTCACAGGGTTAATGAATAAAAAAAAATTCAAACTTAATTTTCTAATGTCTAACCCAAGCCCCAACCAACACTGAAGTGTCTCTAATTTGAAAAAAAATGGTGGAAACTTTTATACACTCAACCGCCAAATAGAATCTAGCTTATATCTCTGATAAAATTTTTCCTTTTGGTTCACATACTGAAATATTTATTGGCAAATCTCTTCTGTTTTGGGCTTTCTTAGCTTTTCTTGCATCAGACACAAATGACAAATATGTCTGGATAGTAAGAAAGACTCCATGACACAGTCTGTCTCACTTCTATTGTCGATTCTCTTTCCTTCAACTCATGGCTATGCAACCGAATGCAGGACTACCTTTTCTCTTTCTTTGCATATCGAGTGTCAAATGACAGAGTCTGCAGGACATTGATCTTGGAATCCA